ATTAATTGGTATTTTTTTTTTCGTAGTACCGTAATTTTCTTATCTAATTACGGGTGCCGGTTCGGGGGAGTAGCGTAGGATTATGATTTTTCGAACGATTGATATGGAATTCGAGGTGGTACCGCGCTACTGACGAGGTACTTTCGGGAAGAGAGTGAAGAGTTAAAAACGAGAAGAGATGTGTTTAAGTATCGACGCCGACGCGTTCTCGTTTCTGCTTTGCTAATTGCTTGTAGAACTCGAGTACCGGAGTACCCAGTGTGCTTTCTATGGTGCTTATTGATAGGCGAGAGGCTCGTTTGAATTTAAATTGATCCGACGGACAAATGGCGACAGGAATTTCGCGAATTTCTACCGACTTTTATCGGCTACTGTATTCGTAATTTATTCCATTTTTTCTCTTGTAATTCCACTACGATTTATGGTAGAAATATGAATATTTTTTTAGGGGAGATTAATATTTTTATGAAGTAATAAAATATAAAATAAGTGGATAATACTTTAGTTTCATACGAAACTTTACAACCTCTCACAGTAGAAATTTTGAACTACAAATTTCCGAATTAATTCCTAGGTGGGTACTATAAAATTCGAACTCTATAACTATAAAGCAAAACTTAAAATATTTTTTCATAAAAAATACACTCTTCGAAAATTCTTTAAATAAGTATACATTATACAAAACAACTTCAGCACGTCGTTAATGCGGTAAAGGTAAATTAGAGTTTTATATTTCTCTTTCAGCCGGGCGATTTATCAAAATGGACTCTAAACCGTGTAATTAAATATATCTACAAGTCGAAACTATACGGGAAAATTGTATGTATCTCGACAGACGAGATTTGCATGACTAATAATAATTTATAAATAATTGAAATGAACCCCGCTATTATGGCGTTTAATAAATATTCATATAACTTCCACCAGATCGCTCGCAGATTATCGCTTACTTTATTTTACGAAAAAAAAGTCCTTTTGTATAATAAAACACACATTTGTCACTATTTTATACAGGGCGTTTTGCATAAGAACCGAGATAGGGTATAGAAACATGTATAACAACAAACTAGTTTTACATTAAATTGAATTCCTGAATAGTCAAAGGCTAAAAGTGAGGTTAAAGCATCCGCGTTCTTACGTCAAACACACTCTCTATCCTCGTCGATCTTCCCCCTCCGCTCGATTACTAAACAACACAGTGTTGCCGGTTGTCTCGAAATTTCTCCGCGATTACCAAAAGCGATTGGCGTGCGCCAAACGCCGGATGAGCCTCTAAAGAGCCATCTCCATGACCTATCCCTATCGCAGGTAGCCGTGCACATCTATCAATACGTCGGTTATGGATAAAAGTTCGTGTCTGGTCGTTCGAGATTCGCGTGCCGTCTGCAATCTTTCGCCTTTTTTCACGCCAACACCGGCATCTCCCACGCCACGACAACTGCCGCATACAAAACGGAATAAGCTGAGCGCGAATAGAGCGTATTAAACAGCCCGGCTCAAACGAATGTATGCCGAAGGATTCGATGTTGCTCTATTGGATTGGCAATCTATCCACTGTGATTCATTCCAGATTGTAACATAGGTTATATAGGCTCTATAGGTGCGATAAAGACAACTTCCAGTAGATATTTATAAAGGAAAAAGAAAGAGTGACATTTGTGTCATTGCAACATTTACATCTTTCTTTGTTCAACTCATAAAAACGACTATATTGTTGTCTGAATTGAAGCAATCGGTATATCTTTAACTCACGAATTGTTTTTAGTTGTATTTTGCATGGTGAATGGTTTTGGAATATACAGGGTGGTTTCTATATGTAAAGCGCTATACTAAGGGCTCTACACAGGATGTATCTGCACAAGTTTTTTATAAATATCACGAAAATTACACAAACAAAAAGCTTCAAATGATAAATCTCGAGTTTAGAGAACATCAACGGGGTAGTTAGTTGGATTTTCCTGGCGATCGTTTCGGTCAATCGGAGCGATTTCGGGCCGGTTTTACGCGCGCACGAAACCGCGTTAGTGACCCTATTTTCACGATACACACACACACACACGTATCGTGATGCGGATCATTTCCTATCTCGTGCCGGAGTACTTCACGATTAGAAAATAGTTGCCGGTCATGAAAATTTCATGAATGGAAAGGACGCGTCGCGATTCGACCGCCTGCGAACGTGCCGGGATCGCGCGAATTAAAAAAAATAAATAAATAAATCCATTCTCGCTCGCACGCATATATCGGGAGCCAAACCGTCAAGGTCGCTAAAATGTAAGGTTGGCTCTTCCCGATGGATTGTACAAGATTGCAATGACGTCACGCAGACGATACACAAGAGATCTACGTTAGTTTCAGTTAGGTTGAAAGATTGGAGTGTGATTAATAAGTGTAGCTTTATTGCTCCTTAGAGTGCAATTTGAGCTAAAAAGTCAGGCTAGTTAAAATAGAAGATTTGCCCTTCTAGACAGAAGATTGAAATGACGTCGCAAAAGCATGGGCATCAAGAGATCTAGATTAGTTTAAGTTTAGGTTAAAAAGTTGAAATTTTATATAAAAAGTTTGAGTTTAATGACAGTTTATAGTAGAATATAGGACTAAAGAAGTCAAGGTTAGTAAAGTGGAAGGTTGGATATATCTGATAGAAGATTACAATGACATCACAAGAGCATTGGTAAAAGATCTTTATAGACTAGTTAAAACTAGGTTAAAAAAGCTCAAATTTGATTAATAATTGAAAAGTTTGTACTTTATTATAGCTTAGAGTAGAATAAAGGAGCTAAAGAGTCAAGGTAGCTAAAATAGAAGGCTGGCCCTTCCAGATAGAAGATTGCAATGACGTCACAAGAGCTTTAGCAAGACTTTAAGACAATTTAAGGTTAGATTAAAAAGTTATAACTCACGTTTTGATCATATTTACTCTAGTTTGCATGAGACTTCAAAGTTTCATCCAGAATTAGAGGACCTGGGAAACTATTGTAAAAGAGATGGGACGATATTAAACTGGTCCAAACAGATTTGTTCTTTAGTTCTTTTAAAAATAGTGCATTTTACCAATTTTGATCCCTTATTAGCTTCCCTTCTCCAACATTTCGTTCTTGTAGAACCATCATCAACACCACCCTGATCCATAAATTATATAAAACAGCCTGTAAACTAATTCCTCGAGAAACATTTAACGAAACATATTGTAGTTGACACTTTAGGGGATGGTATGGGAAATTGCGCACCAATTGGTGAGTTTTGTTTTTTTTTCTCTATTTTATTGTTTAAGTTGACTTCTGCATGCGAAGTCCGAGCGAGCTCTGTCGGTCGCACAAAACGTGTAATACGCGAGCCTTATCGAAGGACTCGAGATTATTAAACGACGTAAATAGGATGTGTACACGGAACACTAAAAGTAATTTCATCGTTAGATGTTAAAGGGATACGTTCTGTGTACGTTTCAGTTGGATGGTAACAAAAAGGAAAAAAAAAAACACATCGGTTAATCGATGTAATTTTAGATAAGCTATTTCGATTAGTGCGGTCTGGGTAATGGTAAGGTAAATATAAAAAGGACAAATTTGTTGATGTTTAGGTGGTGAATTGTATTAAAAAGGGATAAATGGATACAAAAAATTATGAAAGAGTAAATATGGAGTTTTGAGCAAAAAAAAATATGCAAAGTATAAAGTTTTTGGTGCATCTTGGTTTATTGTGAGGAAATTATGGAATTTATATAATTCAACATTTATCGGGTTGTTCGTTTTATTGATATAGATTATAAATGAATGTTTAATTTGATGCATAGTTTACTTTTAGGATACAATTGTTTATATTTCGTACTATTTCCATATTATTTTATTCATTATTTGTTATTATTGTCATATTTATTTAGTGCTCATTTTCTGTAATTTTGTTCTATGATATTTTGAACAAAAATATAATAATAGGTACTTTGTTAAAATAGAAAAAAAATAATGATTTGAAACACAAATTAAGTTTGATTAATCAAGTTATTATAGATTATTTGCTGGAATAATGAATTATATGAAAAATTCATAATAAAATCAAATATCTAAGCCACAAACTATTTATATAGAGACTATATAAATAACCAGACAAGCTGCAAAATGCAGGAACAAGATTCAAGTTAAGTTTATAATGCAATTTTTACATACTTTATACAACGGATGTAATGTTATCCCTCATAGTAGAGAAGCTTTACAACTATTTAAAGAACCTTGTCACAGGAAAATAAATTAAAACTAGTTTTTAGCTATTTTGTAAAATAATTGCAACTTTCATCTTCTATAACTTTTCTAGTGCCTTTTGAATCTTTTCAACAAAAAAAAATAGCAGAAGTAAACTTAAAATACAAACGTACTATTGCAGTTAAGCTTTACTATAGTACTGTAGATAGTTGGAATTATTCAGCTACAAAAGCTTCTACTAATTCAGCAGCTTTTAAAAAAATACTTTGCTAGTTGAAAAGATTTTAACGGCTAAAATACTTAACAAATAGCTATTCTTGAAAATTAGCTAGTAGTTATAACTTGTAACACTGTAGCTACTTGAAAATACTTATATTGGAGCTAGTTGAAAGTACTTATCTATCAGCTGTTACTAGTAAAATAGCTAGTTGAAAATTACCTACAGTAGTTGTAACACTAACTACTCATGAAAATACTTAACAAACAGCTATTCTTTATACTGGAGCAAGATTAAAGGACTTATCTATCAGCTGTTACTAGTAAAATAGCTAGTTGAAAATTAGCTAGTAGTTGCAACACTCTAGCTACTTGATTATATACTTAAGAAATAGCAATTACTTATACTGGAGCTAGTTGAAAGTACTTAGCTACCAGTTGTTACTAGTAAAATATCTTGTAAATTAGCTACTATAGCTGTAACACTGTATAGCTAGTTGAAAATACTTTACTAGCTGTTACTAGTACATATAACTAGCAACTATAAGCTTCAAGAATATCATAAACTCGCGATGATATCGCACTGACCTTTTGCCGTTCCTCCGACGCCGCTTGGTAGCGTAAACGGTGCCCAGTTGATTCATGGCGACGGTCGGCGTCGCGGCGGCGGCGGCGGCGGCGACGACGACGGGCGCGGGCGCCAGCACTCCCGTACCCTCACCGCCGAACGTCACGATAGCACCCGGTGCACATTGGCCCTGCACTGTCCCACCAAAGTATTCCGTTTTGGACGATTTCCGCGCGCGCTTTTCCCTCCAATGTCCCCGTCGGCCGGTCTCGGGATATTCGGGGACCGGTGGCCTCGACTATATACTCGTTCGGTTCGGTTATTTTAATGCGAGAAAATTTGCGGTTTTCGAGGAAAAATCGGACGCACCACCGCCGGCTGAATCGAGAATGGTTCTCGCTGGATGGCCTGTCGGAGGGTCGCTGGAGCACTGAGTGGGTGCCGGAGCGCCGGAGCGCCGGCGGCCCCTTCCATCGAGGCCGACAACGCCTACTCGACGAATGGGACGTCGTGACGTCACAACATGGCCTCGGCGCCGGGCGGTGGGGGGAAGGAGGGGCGGGATTGGGGGGGGGGAGGCAGCGTCGCGTTACCCCTGCTGTCCCTCCGATGGGTTTATTTATCGTTGTATTTTCGCTCGTATAGTGTCAATATTGGATTTGTGTATATAAATATATAAGTATGTGTGTTGCGTTAGGGGTGTATATTATATAAGGGGTGGTTTTGTATTTATTGTTTATAGTTTTAAAATTGTTGTTCTGTAAATTGTGTAAATTATTTTGTTTGTTAATAAAATTTTTAGTCAAATTGTAATTTGTTAAAATATTTTTCTTGAATTATGTCAAGGTTATTTAAATTATATGTTCTCAATAAAATGTCACAAAACTACACATACTCGTGTATACACATTAAATAATTATAGTATAATATTATTGATTTTTGGTAAAGGATAGGAAGAAAAATATTTTGATAAATTAATAATATAAATAATTGTAATGTATTTCTTTAAAAGTTGATGGTAAAATTAAAATATAAAAAATATAAAATGTAAAATATTCATAAAATATTATTACTGTTACAAAATATTCTCAATAAATAATACCTAGATATAATAATATTTAAATAATCCCAGCATTTTATTATCAAAAAATAAGCCTTATTTTACTTTAATTCATTCTTCAAAATTTAAATAATTCTTACTTCATCTTAAATAATCTTATTTTATTTTTGTCAATGTATTTTTTGTATAAAATATCAAATAATAAACGTGAATGAAAAATATTTTTTCAGGGTCATTTAAACCTTTAATTATAAAGTAATACAAAAAGTATCCACTTGACAAGAATGTAATTCTATTCAGTATGAATTTAATGCGCATATTATTTTATTAACATAGTAGTTACTTAATACAAAATTAATACTTACAAGTTTTCTTATACAATATCTTCTTAAGTTCAATAATTCATGAGCTTCAATTAATATTAGGGTACAGAAAGTACTATAAATAAGTACAAGTTTGTGCACCAAGATAGTCTATAGGTGCAACAAAGACAACCATCGTTAGTCTCATATAAAAGAAAAAGAAAGAATGATATTGTGGGATTGCATTTTTCTCACTCTAACCACTGTTGGTTTTGGAAAAACATTTATTGGAAAATTATTGGAAAAAAATATTTAAGAAAAAAGGATTCTCAAGAGTGCATTTTCTACAAGAATGCTACCAAATCGATTGACTCTTTTTGCACTGCAATAAAAAAAAAACTTCGAATGTTATACGCTGCAATTCGTTTTAATAAATCCCCTTGTCGTTTTAATTGCAATGCATCGGAATAATAGCAATCCGTTTTAATTGCATTAATTGCACTAATGTACGTGCTGATTGCGAAATATCATCAACTTTGTTTAATATAATTGGTGATCTAAATAATTAATTGGATTTAACTCTCGTTATACTAAGTAAAATTACTCCAAAAAAAAATTAATGATGAAAGTATTATAGTCTAAAATTAAATTTTATAACAGATATACTGCAGGTATATACATTTTTTTATTGAATATTCTGCACAATTAACATACATATTAAACAACAAATTACATAAAATATTCAATTACATAATAATTTACCAATTCCATCGTACTCGCCAAGTGTCTCTCGCATACAAATTAGCATTTTGCGTTGCAGTTTTAACAATATTTTTTTCTTATAATACGCTCACTTTAAATTTTAGTTAAGCGTTTCGAGCCGTGGGATTATTATTCGTTAATTATTCATTAAAAAAAAGTGATATTAATATTCGAACGGTACACGTTCACCTGCGCTTTTCGGCATAAATAATCGCTTTAATTTCCTTTTTATATATTCGACGGGCGAATTAATATCGGCCCGACCATAAACGGACGAGAAATACTTTATTAACGAGCTCATGGAGACATTAACAAAACCGATATGTAAGTATATGTACCGTGAATATCGTATGTAAGTTTATAGTGTATGTTATAATTATTTTTATGTCGTTTCGACACGATATTTTGGTGCAAAAATGCTGATTATCCCAATTTTATATTACCTAATTCGTGTTTGAATGAAAAAATTTATTTAAAATTTATTAGATAGATATGCAGGGTGTTTTATAATGACATGCTAATATACTGCTCCACAAAAGTTAAGGAAGTTCACAAATATTGAGATAAATTTAAAAGTTGCAGGTTTTTTGATCGCCAAATTTAGTATGAGTTGTAGAGGTAGGGGCAAAAAATCCACTCAGATATGAGAGAAAACATTTAATTTCGCATATTTGACAATTTGGTGATCATTATAAGTCTGTAACTTTGAAAATAATCGCAAAATTTGCGAACTTCCTTAACTTTTGTGGAGCAGTTTATATTTAAGGGTCCTTAAATGGATCCAAGAATTACACTGAAAAAATTTTGGTACATAATATCAATGAACACCATGTTTTCAACTTGTTTTCATTAGCTCAATAAAATAATACATTAATCCAATAAATTTTCATTCATTAGTTAATGAATTCATTTATTAACTCAATGTTTCTTATAACATTAATTATTAATGTAAAATTTCATTAACTCAATAACAATTTTTATTAATTCAATGAAATTTAATCATTAATATAATAACCTAGTACATTAAAAGCGAATATTTCAGTTAATGTATTCGATACATTAAATCAAAGTAACTTGTACATTAATATAACGAATTGTTCATTCTTTTAATGAAATTTAATTATTGAACCAAAAACATTAATACATTAGTTCGATAAACCACATTCGTCATTTTTTATGTTGCCCGTACATTGATTCAACAAATTGAGTACATAAATCCTATGTTCGAGTTCATTGAGCCAATGAACGCATATACATCATTAGTTCGATAAAACACATTCGGCATTTTTAAATAAATTCTTGTCTCGAGTTCATTGAGTTAATGAACGCTTTTCATTAAGTCAATGAATATCAGTTTGGATTTTGGCAATACACACTAGAGTGCAAATCTATGCCGTTCTATTCTATTAGAAAAAAAGAAATAGATAGAGACGCTTTCGAAAATCGCGATGACCGTTAATTACCCCTCTTTCTCTCCTGTTATTTCGTGTTGAAGCGTTGAACTGGAAGTGTTCTGTTTAGTTAATTTCGTTTTCGTTTTGTATTATAAGAAGGAAGAAAATTCAAGCGCTGTTGTTTTAAGAGGTAAGCATTTTTTTAATTCGGTACACTCTAGGTTAAAACTTATACATTTTATTTCTAGGATTTAATTTTAAACACAAACGTAAAGCCTAAGGGAGATATAAGTGCAACAACTTCAAGATTCATACAAAATGTGTGTAAGTTTTTATGGTTTTTACTACAACTCATTAAATTATTGGATATATTAAATTTTTAGGCCCCAAAGACATTTGTGAAACGTGCATAAGACTTCTGAAGTTTGAAAATTTATCATCGGAAGAGTTCGACGTATGCAGCATGTATTGGAACTTCGCTTGAGTGACATAAAAAACGCACAAAAATTCAGATGATAAAATGAACTTATTACAAACGACCATCTGGATATAGCTTGGTGAGTACCTTCAATAGTATACCTACCTATACACCGTGCTTCATTCGCGATTGCAACATGAGCATTTCTTTGAGTTGAACAAAGAAATATTAGTAAAATAACAGTTGTCAGAGTGAAAAGTTGCAATGACATAATATCATACTGTTTCTTTTTCCTTTACAAGTGTCTAATTGAAGTTATCTTTGTTGCACCCATAGCCTATGTTGCAATCTATATACTTACTGGATATGTAGATAGGAATTTACAGTCTACTATATTAACCCATAATTTTTTTTAGATCGATATGGATTTCGCCCCAGCGTATGATGCAAAGAATTTTATGGAATAATTCGAAAATAATTCTTCGAAGATTGACCAGTTTCTTCTAGCAATAATACAAAAAATGTAAATTCGTTAATTTAATAAATCAAATTCATTAATTCAATGTACTGCGTTCATTAATTCAAAAGCTAAAATTCCTTAATTCAATAAAAGAAATTCATTAAACCAAGATCTAAGTTTCATTGATTCTATGAAAGCATTTCATTGATTCTATGAAAGCATTTCATTGAATCAATGTACTACATTTATTAGAAAAAATCTAAAATTTGTTGAATCAGTGTACACCGTTCATTAAACCAATGTAAAATATTACATTGAATTAATGTACTTCTTTATTGGGTCAGCAACTTTAATTCATCGAAACAATGATTTTCATTTCATCATATCAACGAATTATACATCACTTAATGTACCTCTTCATCGCTTAATGAACAAACGTTCATTGATTTAATGAAATCGTTTATTGGACGACTTTTAATGTAAAAATTTCTTGGATTAATGTATTTTTTCATTATCTGCACGTACTTTTTTGGTTCAGTGTACTTCCTTAAATATTAGCATATCATTTTGGAACACCCTGTTTAGGTAATTGAAATATTTTTGATCATTTTATTCTTATTATATAGTTTTATTGTTTTAGCATTTAACTAAAAACTCAAATAATAAACCTACCTAAAGAA